GGGTCCGTGGGTCCGTCCCGAGGATGCTGCGGGGCCCGGCGGGGCTGGCACCCAGCTGAGATGCTCTAAGCAAATGAGGAGCTGAGGACGTGTACTTTCACTCTTAGCAAAGCAGGAAACAAGCCCTCAAAATAAGCCTCAAACATACAGCTTAAGGTACCGCCGACTGGCGTTTAAAAATACTCCCGAGTAACTCCTTTTTGTCTGCCCGTACGCGTTTACGGTGATGCTGCTCGATGACAGGAACGGCGCGCAACAACCTCTGTAGCTATATAACCACGTGGGCCCCTATAACTATAATCCAGTCCCTCTTAGTAAGTAGCTTTTACAGTAGAGGCAAACGGCGTTCTTGGTAGAGGGAGCGCGACGGGGAGACTTGCCGCGTTTGTACCGTTTCCCAGGGAGCGGCTGCGCTGGCCTGCTGCGAGGGCCGACAGCAGTTCGGGACTAGGCAGGCTTACAGGTGTTAGCTTGCAAAATGAGTATTAGTCTAAGATGAGTCTGCTGCTTTGCACCTTGTCAGAAACGCTCCTTCTTATAAAAACAAGGCAGAACGGTCTCCGCTGCCGTTTTCTCTCACAGATGCACATACGGAGTTTTTTTTTTGCATTAATGTTTTGTGGGTATGATTTTTTTTTCACTGTTTAATGCACGTGGCTTGGCTGGGAGCTAAGACTGAATGTGACAGAGAAGAAAATCAGAGAATGTTTGTTCAAGGTATTTCATCTCTTCTTCCTTAGCTTTCAAAACACTACTGCTGCAGACATCCTCTCTCTCTCTATAGGGAAAATCTAAGAAAATTGCCTCCTTCACTTTGTCAGTAGGTGTCTGTGGTAGCTATCTTAACAGATTTTTCTATCAGTAGGTCATTGACCATAAAACCACTTAAAGAGGACTGAAAAAAAGACTTAACTGTACTCAGCTCATGCAGGTTAACAGTCTGCTAGCTGAAGCAATAGCTCGCCAGACTAGGATACCAGTTGTGAGCTTGAGCCTGCCATTACCCAAGTGAGCAGTAAAGCCACTCCTCATGCAGGAGCAGATCCAAAGCCAGTACGGATCTGAAATCAAACTGTGGGGCCAAACACTGAAATCAAAATGGATGTGATAAGGGCTGGGAATCTGCAAAAAGAAAATGAGTTAAGAATGCACCGCTTTTGAAGAAATGCAGAGCTGTAGTTAATGGGGCAAGAGGCCAGCTGTGTGGAATACCTTCTTCCTCTGCTTTTCGCATTCCATGTCTGATACATTTATCTATTTAATAAAACATACTATTTTTACTGTGTTGGTCACACTGTTTGCAAGATGTGTGGAATACAGTTTACCAATGGTAGCTTGGTAATTATAGTATGTGAAAATACCACTAAAATACAGTACACGAAGTAGTATTTTAACTTCAAGTAACTTTATTGCAGTGTTTGTAACACCATTATCATCAGCATTTTACCAATCCAGGAAGCCTAGGTAAAACTGGGAAGAGTGTGGCATTTTAATTATTTAAACTGATGCGCAGAATAAAAAACACAGCACAAATAGTGAGATAACTTTAAATCTAAGAATTCTAATTTACATTGTACCTGCATATCAACAGTTTCTCTCATCTTCCCAGTCTGACAGTGGTAAGTGGGATCTCAGAGGAGGCTACAGGGGAGGACTACCAAAGGTCACAGAAGATGACCACAGCCCAATAAAGTATCCCTGTCAAATGGGACAGGATAGAAGTGTGCGGCAGCAATACATGACACTATGTGCGTGCCATGCTGCACAGTGAGGCCAGGGACCAAGTGAGGGGAAAAAGGCAGCCCATAGCTCTCCCAAATACACCCTTTATTTTTTTTTTAAACATGAATAATGATGTTTAAATTAACTATATTATTCAGTCATTTGAAGCTAAGCATCTGCCTAAGTATTTTGACAGATTATGACCTGTGTGATCAGCATCCTGTAGTACTGAATTTAATATCAAGGCATGAATTCAGTAATGTGCTTGGTAAAGATACCAGCAGGCTCACTGCAGGTACTTCACCCTTCAAGTGAATGGCAAAACAAGGTCTCTTAAGTACGTGAGAGATTTTTTTTTTTCAATTTGATTGAAAATATGTTAATAGTAGATTGAAGTATTCCAATTTTACTATGGAATTGTATTTGTAAGTACAAGCAGTGTATGAACTTCTCTGACTACCAGTAGTAATTTTTCTGTTCTGCATCACTTATTTTAGTAGCTTTCAAAAATACAAAACTAACCTACACGTTTTTAGAATAAATGTGACACAAAGAAAGATTTTTCCATAGCCTTATGGTCTATTTATGTATTACAGACCTATATACATTTTCCTACTTACTTTCCACAACTTGATCACGCAATTTAAGGAACAATTTTATTTAAAATCTTATTTATTATAAAAGAATCCTGACCTTTTGGTGAGACTGAGAAGTGCAAAGGGCAGAAGATGTTTTGAAAAGGAAATGTAAATGTTAGAGCAGAAGCTTTCTGACTTAATCTAAAACTTAACTCTTTGTGAACAATTAGAACAAAGACGACATCCGTAGGATACGTGGCGCTGTCACAAAACAAATATCTGAGCCTGGCGGAAAAAAAAAAAGGATTTTTTTTTTAAACTGTTGATTTCAGTTTATATTTCTTTTCAATATTCTTAGTTCTTCCCATAACACTTGTTGGGAATTTAATATTTGTTTTTATTAAAAGCAGAACCTCCTCGTTTTTATAAATGTTTAGAAACCATTGGAATATACTTGTCAGCACTGAAGGAATCAGTAAACATTTCAAGGAAAATGACACTTTGCAAGATTTTTATCAACATGTATTTTTAATGCGGACATTACTATTATGTCATTTTTAAGGAAGAAACCTTTCTTTTTGTTTGTTTTCTGTAGGTGTACAATAAATATCAGAGTCAGGATGGGAGCTCTCTAAGTGCTCTAATAGGCAACGTACAAATCCTGACAATGCGTAAAAATCTGCCCTCACTGGTGACAGTGGAAGACTTGAGGCATCTGTTCCTGAAGTCCTGACTCAGGATTTCAACCGTGGGCCCCTTAAATATTTTCAGTGGAGACTGAAATAAAAAAATACCTGTGCAAGCTCTGTATTTCAAAAGGTTTCCTCCGCTTAGTCTGCTGTGTGCACTGCTTTCACTGCAGTGGTTACAGGACTTGCTTAAGGAATACATTTTTTATTTTTAAATATAATCAAAACATTTCATTCCTATCCAGTTTTGGGGTAGGAGACCTTGTGTTAAACTTCCAGTGAAGAAATGTTCCGATACTGACTTACTGAATATAAAAATGTAAATGAAATCACATGTGAAAAATACATGGCGTATTTTTTTACATTTACAGAAGTACGCCTTTAATGGCTGTTTGAAGCAATATTAAGAGGTGTTTATGTGTAAACAGTGTCCAAGGTCATTGAAGTTAAGCTAATGGAGAACACAGTATGAGACAAAGAAGGAATTTAGCTTGGCTCCTTGACCTGATAGTGATTTAAGAGTTAATCCAGAAACCTAATCCAGAAGAATGAATAACGATTACTTAACCTCTCAGCTTTTTTGGAGAAACCGAAGTAGTTGATGGCTGCCTCAGAATGTTTTGCCAGAAACCGTCACGGGTGTCTCTACGGGCAGCCCGTGGGGATGAAGGTGCTACCTGCTGCGTCTTTGCTGCCCGTGGCCCAGGGCTTCTGCCTTGGAAGGCAGCGCCCGCAGGTGCTGGGCTCGGGGCCGCGGCGCCGGGTACGGGAGCACGGGACTCGCCGCCGTGCTTGGCCTGCCCGCTGCGCTCCTCAGCCGTTACTCTGGCAAAGAGGAGAGCCAACAGCTGAGGGCAATAACTTCTTCAGCGGCTGCTGGTAATTCTGACAGGGGTCATAGAAAAGCCTAAAACTTAAAAAAAGAAAAAGCCTTGGGGTTTTAAAGAGTATACTATACTCCTCCTTGCCGTTTCACCCTGAGCGTCCAAAGTACCCGTTTTCCCGTAATGCTAACTAGTTCTTAATCTTCTGTCATCTTATCGAAGACCTTGTCCTTGTAAAATGGAATAGAGATTTATATTTGCAACAGGGAGGATGATGTCATGTTTTGGAAGAGTTGGCTATGGATTGAAGGCATATATGCAAACAACCAAGCCTCTATTTGTTTTTCATTTAAATTTTAGTTTGCATAGGCAGCTAGTAGAATCTGAAACAGTTTGAGATATGCTTTGATACCTCAGGGATAAAGGGCAAGAGTCCTATTTGGTAATCTTTATTTACGTAATTAGGGCCTGGGAATTTTGAGCCCTAATATTGGAATGAGAGTATCAGTAGTAGTTTACTACTTTCATAACTATCCTTAAAACACTCTAAGTTGCATATTGTAATTCTGAATAGTTTTACCGTGGGATAGCTGCATAAAACACATAAAATTGTATGCATAAGATATAAATTACACATTCATTATAAACATACACAGAATAAAATATATAGACATAATACATAAGCTACAGTTAACCCATGCAGCGCCTTCTACTGAAAGATTGTTGTGAGTGCCTTCTTAAAAAACATTACCGCAGCAAATCTAATCAAACTGAATACAAGAAGATTTCAGGACCTATATTTTCTTCAACTCACCTGCCAGTACATTCGATTTAGTAACATATTCCTTTTTCAAGAAAAAGATTTTCTGTTCCCTTTTGCTAGGTGGAAAAAAGCACGAATAGAAAAAAATGACTATGCGAAGTAAAGAGTCGAAATACTCTTTCTACCAAAGATGCTTCATTATTCAGTCACAATTATGTTCATAAAGAGCCATAATTTCCATATCATCAGGCATTTAGAGGGCTGGATTTTTTAATTTGGAGTTAGGCCCCTATTCAGCACAGCATTAACTATGTTTAACTTGAAATACGTTATTCCTTCTGCTGAAGGCATTTCATCATTAAAATTAAGCTTTTAGTTTGGCTAGTCAAAGCCTTAAAAAAAAAAAAACAAGTTTTTTGATCTGTATGCTAGTGTGGAAGTGTTCTCTATTCGTTTTACAGGATCCTGCTTTCCTCTTTCTTGGATGTGTTGTGAGGATTAGATCTATGTTCGCTTGATATCTAAATGACAAGCTATTGCTCACGCGCACTTACAACCTACTGGTTTCTGTAAACTAAAATCGGTTTGGCATTTCTTTGTGTGTAAATGAGAGAAAGAAGGAAGGCGTGAAACGGATGATGAGAAAGAAGATCATTACATCCTGCTCTGGGGAGTCTAGGGAGCGTGCAGCTCCTCTTGCCCAACTCTGTATGGATACAGACTTGAGAAACCAAACAGGCCCGTATTAATGCAGCTTTCACGTATATGTTTATATACACCTATGCCTATTTTTACCCAGATTAAGGAGAAAAAAAAAATGAAAAAGCAGTAAAGGTCCTGAACTTGGCCCTTAGTTGCCAAGGAGGAAACTCTTAAGCTTTGCTTTGAAACTAACTTAGACACCTCTTGTACATCTTCAACGTAGTAGCCCTGTCAGACTGCCTTTGCCCCGACGCTGTCAGTTCTATAAAATACCATTATAAATACCCTCTTTGTCAGATCTTCCTTACGCTAACGTCGAGACAAATAGGTTGGCAAAAACAGCATAGCAGGCTGCAGCTGAATTCTGGACAGCATGAGCTAATAGCTATGACAGTTTCTTTTTTAGCCTGTGGGAGGAAGGTATTATCATAACAGGTGTGAGGTAGCATATGTTGCAGTTTGGGCTTTTGTCGTGGGATTGTATGGTTTGTTTACATGTCTGATTTCTGTAGTGCATTGACTTATTATAGGTCTTTTTCAGAACTCAGTTTTCATCTCATACAGATATAGACGTTTCCATTGTGTGGCTCTCTGAATCTGAAACTCGCATCTATTCTAGAAATGAAGAGGAAAAAGAAAAAAGAAAATACCTTTTTTAGAGAAATTTTCACAATGTAAAGTCTAATTATACTTAGTATAAACTTGCAATAGACAGTTGACTTCTTATGCCCATTTTTGATACATTTTATCCACTGTATTATTTGTATTCTTACTAAAAAACTTTTGCAAGCCCCAAAGAAACACCATCAACGCGTTCCCGTTTGTTTGACTCTCCCTGTGATGCCCACGCCGTATAGGAAGAATAACACTACACTTTTAGATGTTTACTTGTACATTGGAGAGTGCAGTTGGGTTAATTTCTAAAAGTCCAAAATTGCATACTTTGACTGTTTCTCTGTGCAGTCCATTGGGGCGAACTGCGTACAGAGATCTGACGCTTTAGATGTCCAAGAGCAGTACTTCAGCATGCCTGGGTTCCTCCAAACCTTGCTCAGCCATTGCTAATTTTTCATTCACGGACATTCAGGACCACTTGAAGCTCATGCCTGAGCTTTGGTGGCGTTCTCAGGCCAGGAGCTGCCCTGTTCAATCCAGTTCATATGGCAATAGCATACGTGTTGCATCAGACTTTGCACAGAAAATGGACAGGGATGCACTCGGGTGAATCTGATCAGCTGCTCATCACCACTACACCCAAGAGCCTGCTAGTTTAGATGTTCACTCGGCAAACGGAAGAGTAAGTTCATGTACCTGCTCCAGTGAATACGGATTTATTTAAAGTGGAACGGCATCACTGTGTGGTAGGTATGGAGCCTTGTCCGCAGTTCAGAGCTATGAAGCTCTGGGTGACAGCATCTGGAAATCGGATATGGTGTTGGAGCACTCCAAGTCCCTGTATGGACATAACCCTTTTCTTCTGATTTTTGCTCGGATTGGGGAGAGGGACATAAAATAACAGAGAAAAGAAGCATTTCAAACAGGATAGAGCATCTTTTGAAACAAACATAGCACCTGAAACATTTTTTTTTTTTTAAGATGACTGTATTTAATTAAACCTTTTAACTATCTTGTAGAATATGGCTAGATTCTGCCATTCTTATGCAGAAATCCACAGGTGTCCCCTTGGAAGAAAGGAGTGTGGTATTTCTTTTCAGGAACAGTTAGGTCATACAACTCGTTAATAGCATTTGGAATAAAATTCAGAACGCCTGATCGTAACTCCTGTCTCTAACTGCCAAACTATACAGCTCTTCAGAAACTGGATATATTTAAAATCGTAGATTTTCAGCATTTATACAAGTAGAGCAGAAATGATACAAAGGAAAAAATATAATAGTCAGCTATAATTAATCTATATGACATATGCTAATATCTACTGAGCATAAACTAATCCTTATAATTCTTTTCCAAAACTACGATCACATTAAATGGCAGTGAAAGAAGTTGTCACTTTTGTAGAACCATAAATATTTCCAGTTATTTAGTATCAAGTTTCTGGTAGTTTATGGAAGTGCGTTTACTTATGCCATTATAAATATACAGTAATTAGTAACAGTTTCGCTTTGTGGAGAATGTAAATTTCTTCTAAATATTGCAAGAAGATCAAGGAGCCCTCAGTGCACAAAGGCCCCAATCTTCTCCCAAGTGTAAAACTAGAAAAAATAGAGTTTAGGCATTGCGTGAACACGTCAGAACAAATGCACTGCAAGCAGCACTATGACAGATAGATACCTTTTGCTTTGTTTAGCTCTGTCTCTGGGAATATTTTATGTAAGTTCTATTTATTTGGCCCAGTGAGAGTGTGCTTAAAAGGACAAAGGAATCTAGCCTGGGGGAAAGTCCAGTCATTGTTTTCCAAGATCACTCCATCAACAAAAGGAATTAGCTCTCTAATGACCTAGCTCGGAACTGAAGGCACCATAAAGGAGAAGGCCAAAAATATGCCGCGCAGAAATTAAGCATATCTAGAAGCCTGTCATTACGTTTAATAATCAGGCACCCCAAAGACAATGAGCAGAGCCTCCCTGGGGCAATCGTGCAGAAGCAAATATCCAAGGGGCAGGAAGAGTGCTAACTGTCCAAGGGCGTGTGTGTAGTCTTACATAATCCGGTTGCACAGCTCTGATGTCATTTTGCTGGTAAGTCAGATACAACCATTTGTAAAAACTACAAAACCATTAGCTCTGCTCTGAGCTCTGCTGTTTGTGAACTGAACCTCTTTAGTGCTTTTAGGAAAGCATATCACGACACTAGAAATAATAGAGGTTTCTCCACTTATGCTGAAGCCCATTAAGTTTTGCCTTTTATTTCACAAGAGAACAGGACGACGGCTTGTGATAAGCTTACGTGCTAGATCATGGCTGCTGGTTGTGAATTACTTTCCAACTGTATGAGCAGACAGCTGCATTGATTTCACTGGTTCTCACTGTCCACTTATAGGTTTGGAAAATTACTAATACATTTAAATCTTTGCATGATGATTGAGGTCCAAAGTCTTCTTGTAATCGCCAGGGTGACAGACTCCAGCTGAAGAAGGCATAGAACTCTGAACTAAACTCAGGACCTGTGAAATAATCCCATTCAAGTTGTATGTTTTACGTAGTTTACTGAATGGGGACCTCAATCGGTGGGTGTGATTTAATGCTAGGCAAGTCATTGCAAACGTTGCAGGAAAGCATCAGGTACTAAGTGAAACTACTGAGAAACTATGCTTATCTACATCAGCTATATTTAGCTAGATATTTTCCAATTTCTAGGCTGTTTTGACCCAATATAAAGACGTAGCAGTCTGAATGCTGCATGTTCGAACTGCTGTACGTCTGTCTGCTGGTTCACTGAAACTTTCCTTTGCCTACTCTCAGAATAGTTCTCATCTTAGCAACGCTTGCATTCGGACTGGAAAATTAAAAAGGACAACTCAGTATGTTAAACAATTTCTATCTCAAATGAAAATAGTTAATACTACAAGAAACCATGGGATTGTCTTTCCTCTCTTTTTGCAGAATAAGATGTCTCAAACAAGGAGAACTCCCAGGCACTTTGTTCTCTCCAGCTACCCAAGTGGAGCACCAGGAGAGGAAAGTTACAGCAGCCTCCTAACAATTCCAGACACCACACAGCAAATGGAGTTTAATATCAGGTATCATGCTGCATTAATGCTCCTTTTGTCTTCCCCTCTCACACCCAAGTACAAAACCCCAGACTTTCAAGAAGACTCTTTGCTAAGCCAAATAATCAGCGGATAGTATTGAAAATAGAATAGATACAACTGTAGATAACCTGTAGTGCTTAACACTGATCACATAACATTATTCTGCATTAAATGTCAATGCACAAGCACGCAGATGTGGTTCTTCATTAGAAACCCAGCTGTTATAACAAGCAGCTGAGGAAGCCATTTTTACATAATTCTCTAGGCGCCTCTCATAAACTGATAGAGCTGCTTTTTTTCCTGTGTAATCCCGTACATAATTTTTTTCCAGTTCAAGAGCCCAGAGGCAGGCTTTGCCCATGTCTGTGAAAATTATTTTCTATGTGTTTTTTGTTTGACTGACCAAACCAATCCCAAGGTATTTTTTAAACAGCTCTCTAGAATTTGGCTCTTAAACCTACTGTTCAGCAAATCTCATAAAGAGATCTCAACAGAAATACAATAGATTAAAAATATATAACCTGATACTGTTTTTCCACCAAAAAATGGAAGCATGCCTAAGAGAAGCCAAATTTCATGGGAAATTTTCATCAAGTCTAAACAGTGTTTGGAGTTAGCTATTGTGCTTCACAGAAGTTGCAGTCCAAGGACCTGTATGCCCCAGTACTTCCTTAAGAAACTTCGCATTTTGGTCAGATAGCGCTCTAGCATCACCCAGTAGCTGGAGATTCACTGTGGAAATCATTGGCGTAAATCAGCTGGACAACAAAGTGAGCAGTTATTTAATATGATTTTTTGGAGACATCCAAACTGAAGGATGGTTCGATATTTTGACTTTGGAATAATAATAAAAACAAACCAGAATTCTATTGCCCTATATAAAGGAAATAGACACCTAAAAAGCAACATGATTTTTTCAAAAGTGCACCATATGCAGCTTTTTATAAAAAAAAAATCAGAGCACTTTTGCATATGTTTAAATACGGACTTAAGACGTCTAATCAATAAAACTGTTAACAAAAACCCCAAACCCTGAACATTCAGTTTTTACATGCCCAGCTTGGTCAAACTTTTAGCGGAATAATTGTGCCTGACCTCTGCAGAGCTTTCTAAAGACTCAGTGTTACAGTGTTTTCCTCTAACACACACATCCTGAATACCTTACAGCACAGCTATCCAGGTTGGCCATCAGCTGGCAGTAATTGGGGATGAATTTAATAGAACATACAACAGGAAGTTTGAAGATACACTGCTTCACCTGGCTCGTGGGTAAGTGATGTTATTGGATAGCGTCAGTCTTTGCATACTTTTAGTATTCATCTTAGACAGATAATAATGTTTCTGCACCAACAGCAAAAATTTGTATTGCACCTACTACTGCTGTTTCACATAGAACCTAAGAAAATAGCTACTGAAGCTTGTGTTGCAAGGAGGAACTTTCTAATGTAAATTGTTTCCATAGACTACAGCCATTTACAGTTGAAAGACCTAAAAAAAAGATTTCTCCGTATTTAAGATTTCACAGTAGTTTCTCTAGGTTAAATTGTGCCTTAAAGCACAACTGATCGAGGAGAGGTCTGCAGCCTAGTAGGCATGATGCTTCAGGAATTAACAGGTTAGGGCACGTTAAATAATTTGCCAGTGCACGTAAATCAAAGGTGGCTAAACTAGTTTGAATTGCCTTTTATCTGCTGCGAGCTGACAGGACTCTGCTGTGTGGTTATTAGCTGCAGAGTAACTGACATGCAGGAACCTCCTAATGCGATAGACACAATTTTTGTCTGAACCCTAAATATACTCAAGTGCAATTCCACCTCTTTTCTCTCCTTGCTTCGGGGAGAGGAAAGTCAATTATTGCAGACCTCAGAAGCATGTGATTCAGTTACACAAATGTTCCTGAACATAGCATATAGACATAAAACTTGGATCTCAGTAAACCTGGATATAAGCTGCAGAGAGAGACTCTGCTGGGTTGTCACGTTAGTCTTATATTACTACACTCTGGTTCATTAAAGATCAACAGCACTCGTTGAGTTGTACTATTCTTAGTTGGGAGCAAAGGCGCAATATTACAGTTCAGGAGATCTGCTGTACGTTTTCCTGTGTGATGTTGGTGATCAATTAATTCTAAAAACAAGGTATTAAATTTCATACAAATGCAGGTGTAACAAATGTTGAAGAAATGCCGCAACTAAGTAGATTAAAACGTAAAACGCATTTCATCACTTTTCTATTATTACATGTATTTCTTGACTTCCAATTATCTAACTGTTGGGCAGGAGAAATTGCAAGTTTTCCCGTCTAGGAAATTCTTCCTTTTGAACACCGTGGGCAGAATCTTATGTTTAATTTGAAGTCAGCAATAAACAACGCTTTTTCAGCAAAAAGGACTAGTTAGCCTTTAACGCCCTACTAAGTTACTAGGTCTTCTTCCTAAATGTTTATAGAAATACACGTCTATGTTAAGCTCCATAGACTTACAAAAAAGAACATATTGGAGTTTTGGGTTTCTCTTCATAATTTTTTAAACCTTGGTATTTTACTTTTGATCTTTAGAATAAATCTTTTATCCCCATGGTGGTTTTGTTGTTGTTGTTGTGTTGTTTCTTTTTTTTTTTTAAATCAGGGTTGCTATCAGTGTTTTCCAGACATGGAATATTATTAAAAGTGTTATAAGAAGCCTTGGAAATCTTTTGAGCAATAACTGGACTAAGAAGATCATTGGTTATGGAAGCTGGGTATGTTCTCTCCCACTCTTTTTGTTGAGACGTGGGTAATAGCAACACCTAACTCCCATGTAAGCGTCAAGGAGTAAAGCACTCTAGGTTTGGATTTACTCCTTAGTTGGTTGCCCTCCCCTCCCCCCCCCTTTTTTTTTTTAAACACTGAAATTTCTTGTTCATGGAGTATGCCAAAAGTCTGCAAACAGAACTGAACAACTGCAAAAGCCCCACTGAAATCCCTGGGGGTCCGTGCAGAGAGGAGTTCTTTGCTATAAAAAGCTGTAAGAGTACATTCCAGATGGGGTAAGTGGGACTGTTCTCACTAGGGTTGCACCCTATATTCTGGAGAAGAGCTGAGGGGGGTCTTTAGAACTTCGATATGAATATGCCACTGCAACAGCCACACGAGTGGCCAGCAAAACTAGAACCTGACATCCAACCCTTGTTTCTGGAAAGGAACTTGACTATATTCACAGTTTAACGCTAATTTTAGATGCAGGCATTCTTGTTAGCGTTTCTGCACCATCTTTTCACTGCTTGTTATTTCTAATTACCTTCCCTTTTCTTTCCACAGATTTGTAGGCTTCCTTTCAGGTGTGTGTGCCAGAAGCTGGTGCCTGCAGCCTTGCTTGTTGTTGCTTTTTGGTGGACCATAAATTATGGACTGCGGAATTAATACAGAGAATTACAGGAGGTCATTGCTGGACTCTGACCAATACACTCAACACCCAGGTGGTGGCAGTCGGTTTGTTTTTCAAATTTTCATTGATAAAAATCTCTTTTATATTTAAAGCCTAGGCTAGTGCTGGGTCACTGCTGTTTCATACCTTTTTTTAAAAGAAAAACATTTAAAATAATACGAGGTTGTTGCTGGATAACTGCCTGACTTGCTAGTTTTGAAATGTGAGTCTGGGTGATTAGAAAGTTTGTTTTTGTCTTTTTTGTTGTTTTGTTCTAATGCAACATACAGCATCTACTTCATATAAACAACTTTCTAAAAAAGACTGTGGATTTGGGGAAGACTGAAGGAATGCTGGTCATCCTTTAAATTTTAACACTGTAAAAGCAATAGTAAAGATTAAAATCATGATACTTTTTAAAAATTAAACTGTCGCTTCAACTATTTTCCAGTGTTACCTACTTTATTTTCCAAGGTTGTACCATTGCACATGTTAATTCTGAGAGAAGACATTCCATTCTCTTTGTTATCAAAATACTACAGGAAAAGCCTTACTTGATTTTTGTCAAGTAAAATTAGCCTATAAAATTATAGTTTATCAGGGAAAAAAGAGTTGTTCAGGTGAACTAGCAATCAGCTTGGCTGGACTGGAACTTGAGGTTCACTCAATCCAAGCTTCCAATATTTCTCAAAAAAATTACTAATAGATTTTATATTTCTGTGCCTCTTGAAGTAAAATTTTAAGTTGCTCAGCAAAATGAGAATTTGATTGAATTTGGAAAAGAGCTTTTGACAACACCAATCTTTTTTGGAAGGCACACAGTTAGGGGGAAATAAATTCCGAAAGGAGACTGGAGCACAGCGTACAAAACGGAGATGCCATAGGTGTCGTCCTCTCTCATTCCACAAGGCAGTAGTTAGGACACAGTTGAGTGTCTTGTCTCTCGGAAGCATGCCCTAACCGCACCAAATTATTGCGTACACTTGGGTGCCTCTTTCCTAGTCTTTGCTGTTGAAGTTGTTTTTTCACTGTATACAGTTTATAGACTCTGGCTCAGTGAGAGAAAATGAAAGTACATCGCTGTGGTTTGGGTATTCCCCTTAGAAGGGGGGATACCTGCTTCCTGTCTCGTCAAGTGACTGCTATCGTTAATATACTTTTGAAAGAGGGAAAGCACACTATTTAATGGCCTGGTGGTTTAAACACTTTCCTGAGAGGTGGGAGTTTCAAATTCAAGTTTCTCCTTTAAATCCGACAAGGAATCTGAAACGCTCTTTTCTTCACTGTAGATCAGTGTCCAATCCAGTGACGTTTAAGAGGGCTGAGAACTGTTTTTCCTCTCTTTTGTGAATGGCATTCAAATCCCATTATGATCCTAACTCTCTGTATAAAGGGTATAAAAAAATTGTTCTAAGTTAAAAAAAAAAAAGAAAAAAGAAAAAGGCTTAACTGAAATATTTTGTTCACCACTTAAAAGATTTTTGAAATACCTTAAACTGACATGAAATGCAAACCAAAGAGCATGCACTTAGAGGGTGATGGCTCCAGTACCCCTAGCATTCAAGCACCAGCATGTATTCTAGCATATCTCCAAAAATATGGCATCTTTCTTTCTGAATGCCCTAGATTTGATTTCCCACTCAGCAACAGGTACGCAAGTTACTTCTTTGAAAGGCAGGATTAGCATGCTTAGTGCCGTAGTCTTGCCAAGGCCAGAAGATGGCAAACTGAATTGCCCACATAAGCAAAAAGCAAAGACCAAATTTTCATCAGTGAATTGACTGCTCTGTTTAACTCCATACTAACACTATGATAGAAAATATTTTAACCTTATTACTTAGGAATTTCTACCTTGCACTATCAGGAGAATGTAATAAACAATCTATGCAAGTGTAATAAAAAACCCACCAATTGCAAACAGTATGATTCTTCCTGACTGAATCACTTCAGCAACACAAAATAGTTTCATTTATTTCTAGATAAATAATCTTTATGTACACGGAAGCAATTATAAATAGGAGACTGCTGTACTGCCTATTCTATCTGAAAGCTGTAAGTGATGACTGTGCTTTTTTCACCCTCTTGGATTGCAGTCAATAATGTGATATTTTCAGTCTTAAAAGATGAGAAGTCTGTCATCTAGCATGTAATATAAAATGCAAGCATACCAACAGAACAATCAAACTACAATGCAAACAGGGTCTGCTGCAACAGTGGCCACAGACTGGAATACTGCAGTCAGCAGTAACTACTAGAGCCTTCTCGCACACGTGGAGTTGAGCAAAGAGTCTTTTCAGGTTCTGCAACCATGACTCCGGAGACCCAAATTCAATTCTTACTACTGCACGCTTCCTCCTCATGTGACAGAGCTTCCAGCACCTGCTGTTGTTTTTTTTTTTTCTTTCCACATCCTGTTTCTGCTTGTTCCTAGGTGAAGGAACTGCACTGACTTTCGCAACTTAAACTTTTGGTTTCCAGAAACAGAAGGAATAGATCAGTAAGAGCATAAATGAAACGCAGATAGGATAGTAAGGTCCAACATCCTTAATTACTCCACATGCTGTTCTCCACCTAGCTACATGCAAGTTTTACAGCGCATGAGACACCCTTCCTTTTATTTACAGCCATATGCTAATGTGACACTGTACTACCAGACACTTCATGAAAGCAAGCACTGAATACCCTTGATATAGGAGAAGTATGAAGATGTCCCTCATACTTTTTAGTTCATCTAAATTGTGGCATCAGCAAAACAGTATGATACTACTTGACTTCTGTTTTTGAAAATACAGTGCTCAGAAAAGAGCTTCTGAAAAAGAGCTTGCTCTATAGGCTTCAATCAAACACTCCACAGAAGAAAAACAAAGAACAAACAGTGCAGTGGCTACTGTTCTTTCTTCCCCCTATTTAAACAGGGCCTACACAAGTGTGACACTCTTGGAATACAAACATTACTTCAGTATTCTGCATTTGCTGACCAGAGATTTTGATCTCATTTCTTCCAAAGAGTTTTATTCCAGGTAAAGCACACAGTAAGGTGAAATGAGTGAAAATATGTACATAGTAAAAAGAGTATAAATAGAAATAGCTCTTCCAAGTTCCTAGAAACTGTTAAATAGAAAAAAAAAAACATCAGAAACTATAAAATGCTATACTAAGAATCAGTGACATCAACACCTCAGACTCAGTTACAACTATTATAAAAAACGGTTTCAAGGTCACTGACACTACATTTGGTCTTGCAAGAGGTCGTCAGACACTTACAGCCCAACATGTAATTCAGTGTTTAATAATACAAGGTGCGATTTAGTTGCCAATTTCACAAAAGAACTGTTCAGTAATACAGTCCAATAATCAATCATAGCTCAGACTAGTATTGTTTAATTCATTTGCCCTTTCAGAAATGTGAAATTATTAAATGCTTAATACTGTCATTGGAGTTTATTCTGCATTTGATAATAAAATCTTGAAGATTTGTGCAGACATTTAGTTCCTTTCAAGTAAAATATCCTGAACTTTACATATACATCCAACTAGTTTGTAACAAAACGTGGAAAATTAGCATCCTGCTACTAGAAGGGTGTTAACTGTTACACCAGCAAAAAAACCCAAAAGTAAGACAGAACTAAAGTTTGGGCTGAAGCTTCTGGTCACTCACGTATGCTTGTTTGTACAGGATCCCCTAACAAATACTATTCTCTAAAGTTTTTCCTTACTTCGCAGTGGTGGATACAGAGAACCGAAATATTAACATTCAAGTTCTCCTCACCTGACACATTTTTACTACAGAGTTCACCTGGTACGAAGGTGCCCTCCTAAGAAATCTTCACATTTCCAGCGCTGTCATTTTCTGCTCCAAGAGAAGTCACTGAAAGGGCTAATTCTGCCTATGCGACATCAGAAGCTCTGTCACAGATAGCAAAACTCCTACATCTCTTTAGAGGCAGGAAATTTTGGACAAGTTCGTTCATTTAGCGGAACGCTTCTCTCCTTGGTAACGTAGCACAACCAATGTGACACTGAACAATTGGAGGGAAAAATCACTTCCTTCCATTTGTGGACTATATTCCAGTAACCATACACCTCACAGCATTAAAAATACCAAGAAAATCTTTATTTATAGTTTAATGTTAAGAGAACCCTATTCCTACCTAATATCTTCTGCCTTACCACCTGCTAACCAGCAGTACAGGACAAAATAAAAGAATTTTACAGACATGCTTGTCCCACTAGTCAATCACCTTAGAAATTAGAAACAAGTGTACTGAAAGCTGTAACAATCCAATGGCTTAACTAAATGAACCCTTGATCCTAGTAAAGAGCACTCCCTATTCTGGAAGGGCAATCAAACAGTCGAGTTCTACACCGATATCCATGCAGAAGACCCTTGCAACAGACAGCAAAAGCTACTGGCTTCAACTCAAATCCACACACACACACACATCAAAAAAAAAAAAAAAAAGAAGGCAAATGGAAGCTGCTTGCAGGATTAAGGCCAAACAGAGTGTCCATTGGCAAGTTTATTGGCATGTTGCAGGCATAACACAGAGGGAAAAGCCAAATTTTGCAAGTTGCTCTCCCATTCCACATCCGAGGCACGCCGGCAGTCACGTGGGGAAGGCAAATATGCACTGCAATTATGTACGTGGTGCTCTTTTCACCATGAGAAGCCATTAATATTAAAGACTTCCTGTTTCAGGAACACGGAGTTATTTTTAAACTAAGCAGAAAAAACAAGTCACATGTTTTTCTCTCAAAAAGTTATTTAAGTTTCTGCTGCTTCCTCATCTTCTGAGACATCTACATGTTCATATTGTCTCCAGGCCTTTAAATTGCACTTTTTGAGAATTGCTCCTAGTTGTTTCCCAGGCCCCACTTCGTAAGTGTAAGGAAACTCTGTTCTTTGCTTTCTTTCGTATACAGAATGCATCGTCTGCTCCCACATCACAGGGGAAACAACCTGCTTGACTAGTAACTTTTTAATATGATCTGAGTGCATGTACTTTTTGCTGTCAACGTTAGAGTAGACACAGATCAGCGGTTTCTGAATTTCAATGGATTTTAGGACTTCAGCCAGCGGCTCTACTGCTGGTTCCATAAGTCTTGTATGAAAAGCACCGCTGACAGGAAGCATTTTTGTACGTGTAAAATAATATTTTCGGGCATTCTCCTGCAAATATTCCAAAGCCTACAAGAGAGAGAGAAGAGCGACAGTCTTACTTACACGGCAAACCTTTCCTCGTTCACCCCGCAAGAACCACCTCGCCAATCTTACTGTGCTGAAAAAATCCTTTCCGCTACCCAACAAGCGGGCGCAGACTGAAAAACACCACGAATCAAATGCTTCTGTTTGGCCTAACTGAGGCCGCACAGGTTAAGTGTCGCGCAGAACTACGAAGCGGTGGTTTTTAAAAACGAAACGTTAGATGCAATTAAGCGGGCATTAATCCTGAAATAATACCTGCAAGTGTCCTGCAATGACTCTGCTGTCCGGAAACAAGTAGTTTGAAATCTCGCACACGGGGTTTTCTATGCCCAGCGATTCACAGTGCTTACGAGCTTCCAAGCAGGCAAATTTGTAATTTGCCGCCGGGCGACCGATAACCGACAGCATCCCGCTGGGAACCGCTTCCGAGGCCTTCTGCATGGCTTCGGCGCGCACTTTCACCGCGTAGAGGGCTGGGGAAAGACGAAACAAGAACAGAAGCAAACAAACCAGCAGGCTAACGTGAGTCTCCACCCGGGGCACCTTGCACATGCGCACGCAAAAAAAAAAAAAAAAAGAACAAAAAGACAAACAAACCCCATGATAACGGTGGGTGCTTAAAAGCGCGACGCTTTTAACGTAAGGTGCATAGGGGAACGGAAGAGGCGAAGGAGAAAATAAAAAACATTTGTTCCCCCCTTGCTCTAGCGGGGCAGCAGGAGGGAGAGCGCGGCGGAGGCCCCGCGTCCCCCGCCCCGGGGCAGCGGCCGGGGTCCCCAGCACCTTGGGCGAAGTCCAGCGCTCCGGCGAACACCAGCGCCGCG